CAAAAAAATAAAGGGAACACTTAAACAGCACAATGTAACTCCAAGTCAATCACACTTCTGTGAAATCAAACTGTCCACTTAGGAAGCAACACTGATTGACAATAAATGTCACATGCTGTTGTGCAAATGGAATAGACAACAGGTGGAAATTATAGGCAATTAGCAAGACACCCCCAATAAAGAAGTGGTTCTGCAGGTGGGTGGTGACCACAGACCACTTCTCAGTTCCTATGCTTCCTGGCTGATGTTTTGGTCACTTTTGAATGCTGGCGGTGCTTTCACTCTAGTGGTAGCATGAGACGGAGTCTACAACCCACACAAGTGGCTCAGGTAGTGCAGCTCATCCAGGATGGCACATCAATGCGAGCTGTGGCAAGAAGGTTTGCTGTGTCTGTCAGCGTAGTGTCCAGAGCATGGAGGCGCTACCAGGAGACAGGCCAGTACATCAGGAGACGTGGAGGAGGCCGTAGGAGGGCAACAACCCAGCAGCAGGACCGCTACCTCCGCCTTTGTGCAAGGAGGAGCAGGAGGAGCATTGCCAAAGCCCTGCAAAATGACCTCCAGCAGGCCACAAATGTGCATGTGTCTGCTCAAACGGTCAGAAACAGACTCCATGAGGGTGGTATGAGGGCCCGACGTCCACAGGTGGAGGTTGTGCTTATAGTCCAACACCATGCAGGACGTTTGGCATTTGCCAGAGAACACCAAGATTGGCAAATTCGCCACTGGCGCCCTGTGCTCTTCACAGATGAAAGCAGGTTCACACTGAGCACATGTGACAGACGTGACAGAGTCTGGAGACGCCGTGGAGAACGTTCTGCTGCCTGCAACATCCTCCAGCATGACCGGTTTGGTGGTGGGTCAGTCATGGTGTGGGGTGGCATTTCTTTGGGGGGCCGCACAGCCCTCCATGTGCTCGCCAGAGGTAGCCTGACTGCCATTAGGTACCGAGATGAGATCCTCAGACCCCTTGTGAGACCATATGCTGGTGTGGTTGGCCCTGGGTTCCTCCTAATGCAAGACAATGCTAGACCTCATGTGGCTGGAGTGTGTCAGCAGTTCCTGCAAGAGGAAGGCATTGATGCTATGGACTGGCCTGCCCGTTCCCCAGACCTGAATCCAATTGAGCACATCTGGGACATCATGTCTCGCTCCATCCACCAACGCCACGTTGCACCACAGACTGTCCAGGAGTTGGCGGATGCTTTAGTCCAGGTCTGGGAGGAGATCCCTCAGGAGACCATCCGCCACCTCATCAGGAGCATGCCCAGGCGTTGTAGGGAGGTCATACAGGCATGTGGAGGCCACACACACTACTGAGCCTCATTTTGACTTGTTTTAAGGACATTACATCAAAGTTGGATCAGCCTGTAGTGTGGTTTTCCACTTTAATTTTGAGGGTGACTCCAAATTCAGACCTCCATGGGTTGATACATTTGATTTCCATTGATAATTTTTGTGTGATTTTGTTGTCAGCACATTCAACTATGTAAAGAAAAAAGTATTTAATAAGATTATTTCATTCATTCAGATCTAGGATGTGTTATTTTAGTGTTGCCTTTATTTTTTTGAGCAGTGTATTATAATGAGTCTGTTGGCAAAATTCTAATTAAAGGTACACCATGTTTAAAGGGATGGCTTAAGATAAATGTACTGAAACCCCTATTGAATGAAAACTCCAGGAGAAAATCTGTTGGCCAGCAAGCGGGAGGGTTTTCAGTGGTTTAATTAAATGCATTCAGCGTGTGCAAGGGAACCACACCTGTAAAGCCCATAACGCACCTGCATAAGGTGAGTCTGAATACCAACTACTGAGAAGTGCGTAGGAAAGGCGTGTGTAGGAAACCGGTACATTTCCTAAGTCTGAATCAGCCCCCTAGTGAATTACTCCCATAATACTGTAGGCTACACAGATACAAAGGGTGTATCATTGGTTGACCCTGTGTTTATGTAAATTGCTCCCAGCCACAAACACCATGCTGGAAAGTGCATGAGCGTGTAGCTACAAGAGAGAAACATGGCAGCTGGAATAGGCTTGCCTCCAATCTGCAAACGATCTACACAGTATCTTGGGAGACATGATGTGCAGTGCTACAGATATCCAAACACCCCATGAAAAATGTAAGCTCAAGGATAATCTTCACCATCCCAAACAACATGGAATATCTCAAGACGGGAGATAAGGGGGAAACATAATACTTCTGTAGGTGTTTCAGTGGCCCATGAAGCAAATTTGAGCCCTCTACTTTAGCCTTCAGCTGTGTTACCTAGAGAGATCTCATCTATTGATTAATAGCTAACTCCAGCTCATACTAATCTATCATCATCTCCACTACCTATGTGAGGTTATGTGGAGGATGACATTGACATAAGATGATAGTACGTGAGGTTATGTAGTGGACGAAAGATGATAAAGACATATGAAGACCCGAATATCAAAGGGGATATGCATTAATTGTATCTATAAATCAACCTTTACAGTACAATACACATTTTCTGAAAGTAAATAGGAATGACCCAATGTGGGACTGGGGTTGGGATGAATTTCATGTGGTAAAAACAAGGTATGAATAAAAAAGCCTAGCTGGAGCACTGAGAAGAGGAGGCCGTGCCAACAACAATTAGGCCTGCCTGAAAAAAAATAAAAAATAAAAGATGTAAAAAAGATGTAGCCCATGCCTGTTAATAGAGGTCAATTGATATTTTCCCTCTCTCTCTGTGAGCTGTACACCCCCCTTCTATCCACACACTAATCAATAACAGCAGGACACATAGGCCTATCGGCATCACATTTGCATTTAACGCCAAACGTGCCTTGAGCTAGTTAATCTTATACATGTTAGGAAATCCTTTAATGTGCTGTATGTAAGTGGGGGGGGTGGGGGGGGGAGCAGCCTCAGTGTTTGAGATGGGTGACAGGCGGCCATACCCTGGAGGATGGGTCTATCTCGGTGTGAGATGAGACCATATACACCGAATGTACAAAACACCTGCTCTTTCCATGACATAGACTGACCAGGTGAATCCAGGTGAAAGCTATGATCCTTTATTGATGTCACCTGTTAAATCCACTTCAATCAGTGTAGATGAAGGGGAAGAGACAGGTTAAATAATAATTTTTAAGCCTTGAGAGAATTGAGACGTGGATTGTGTATGTACCATTCAGAGGGTGAATGGGCAAGACAAAATATTTAAGTGCCTTTGAATGGGGTATGGTAGTAGGTGCCAGGCGCACTGGTTTGAGTGTGTCAAGAACTGCAATGCTGCTGGGTTTTTCCCACTCAACAGTTTCCTGTGTGTATGAATCAAGAATGGTCCACCACCCAAAGAACATCCAGCCAACTTGACACAACTGTGGGAAGCATTGGAGTCAACATGGGCCAGCATCCCTGTGGAACGCTTTTGACACCTTGTAGAGTGACACCAATGAATTGAGGCTGTTCTGAGGGCAAAAGGGGGTGCAACTCAATATTAGGAAAGTGTTTTGTACACTGTGTATGTATCAGATTAAAAGATGCACTGAACGTTTCATATCCAGCATTATGAATAAACCATGAGAGAGTGGTGAGACTCCATGGCCATAAAGTCCCAACCGTATGGTCAGTGTATTCACCGGTTAGATAGGGGTCATTCAGAGTTTACTGTCTTGTGTGGTCCCCATGTGTGAGGGGAAAGTGCACCCCTATTTTTTCTATGTCTGAATCTCTTTTAGAGAGAGAGTAATAGAGAGAGGGAGACAGAGAGAAATAGATAAAGAGGCAGAGAGAGAGAGAGAGAGAGAGAGTGTTTGGGGGGAGAGAGTTTGGGTTCAGTGTCCTGGGATCAGGCTGTCTCTGACTTCGTGATCTTCAAAGCTTCCTTTGATGCAGGGGGAATCACATCATCTGTCCACTTACCCAGACATACACACTCACTGATGCACATTCACGCTCACACACACATGCATACGCACACACAGACACACACACACGTCTACTCTTTAATAGAAAGAGACACTTTTGTTTCCCTGGCAACAACATGGTGGCATTCATAAATCAATAAGGAATCCTCTCCTACTAAGCTTATAAAAAATATTATCCAAGGGGGTGGGTCTAATTCTGGATGCTGATTGGTTAAAACTGCATTCCAGTCAGTGTCTATTCCACAAGTTACCACCGGCTAAATCTATGATATTGAAATGCCTGACTGCTTAATCCACTGTCTCATCAGCTCAGCAAGGCAAATCAATTATTAGAAAAGTAGAAGGTGTTTAGAGCATCTGCAGTCATTGATTACAATCTGAAATCAATTCTTGTGAAAATAAATAACCCAGCTAATTGACGTTTTCCTGTATGCTTGTTTTGTTTTATTGATTCAAACATCCAACCACACAACTTACAAAAGAAAATAGAAGCGTCAGGACATTGACACCATAGCGCACTGTTTTACAGTAGATCGTTCTGTTAGAGGTTCATTTTCACATGCGCTTTTACAAAAATTAAATGCATTCTGTAAAATAAAATGTGGAGAAAATAAAAACAACACTAATAAATTAGGCATCTAATAAATAGTATATATCCTTCAATGGTTAATGTACAAAGCTGAAGTAAGATTGTGTTAATAGTTATCTCATACAATATTTATTCAGACAGGAAATCAGACCAAATAAAGGCAGGTGTGTTTATTATACAAAAATAGATGCACAACTACTGATACTAGTCATATTCCTCTATAAGTAGTAACTAACATAAAATATTTTATACATATGGGTCCTTTACTATCTATTGTATTTACATTATAAGTCTTGTGGCCTCTTTAGAAAATTATTCTGTACAGTGATGGATTTCTACAACTGTTTGATGCATATATCCTGTGTTTATAAATGTGTTTATAAAATGCCCAAATATAATTGTCAAACTATACACACAAAGTACATTTGATTTCAGTCCGTAAGTGCATATTTTGCTCTCCATCACAAGGTTGGAGTTCAATCAGGCATATCTAAAGGATGGCCAAGTCTTGGTGCCTACATTGATCCTGCCATTAGCTTTTCAGTCTCTTATCAGTAACATAAGGTTCCATATTTTGTAAAATGTTTTGAGCTATGCTCCAATTACTATTACGGAAGATTTTCAGTGACAAAACAACCAATATTGTGGATGATAAAGTGCTGCTAAAAAGAAAACGTTTTATTAAAGAATGGAAAACTTCTTATAGTGGCACAGCAGTCACAGACAGGAACATTACATCAAGAGATGCTGTCAGCTGAATCAGCTAACTATACAGGATTGTCAGCTATGCGTCACAAAACTAAATTGGACAAGAAAGCAGCCCCTACAGTGCTGAACTATGCCAAAGGCATTGTGGAGTTACAATAACGAAAATCACCCTAAAAGAAAGTCACCACTTTTCAAGGAACATGGAGCATTAGTTGGGAGTTTGACCCCGAAGGGTCTAAAAGCACTTTCAGGATGAAGCAGACCTTGGTACGGTTGGAAGCCACATTAAATGTGGTTACTGTTTGAAAGGAAGCCTCCTGTTCTGTCAAAGGCACAAGATCAGAGAACAACTTACATTCTTGTGAACTGCTAGAAGGCTCTACTGGGAGTGTATTCTTTGCATGTTTTGGAGCAGGCATTTAAACTCGAAGTTGTGAGGGACTTCAGTTAAGTTTTAGTGGGGGGGGGTTGTAACTCAGATTTGGGTATATTTTACACCCATATTAGCCTGCAGTGAAACAGGCTGATGTCACTTTTCAAATGAGTATAGTTTGCTATATGAAAAAGAAGATGAGTTCAAACTAACAACACCAGTGTCAGAGTAGAAATGTCTCAAATAGTCCCATGATATCATAGTGTAAAATTCATGCTCATGGGTATTGCTTCGGAATGAAATATAAAATGTACGCATACAGTAACTTACAACAGCTGGCTTTTTTTTGTAACAGTGTCTTTACACTATGACATAAACATAATAAAAACTACTCTTTATGATTTTATTAATTTTTTCCATAAGAAATACATTTGTCAAAAATAATAAAAATCCGGACAGAGATTAAAAGAGTTGCTAAAAACATATTTACATGGCATGCAATGCCTTGAGGGTCTTCAATGAGAAGAATTGAGACCTGCATAAGAAATGTAAGCATAGATATCTAAACCGACAAAATGAGAAAGATAACAGACAAAGTAAGAAAAATTAAGTAAAAGTAACATAGGATATTTACTGTTTTTCTGATATAAAATGTGAAGTTAATTGAAAAGACCACCATCTTCTAACTATCTACCATTCCAACCCACCCCCTTACACCCAGGTTCCTGCCTCCACCAAGTTTTTGTTGTGATGAGAAGAGAAGGAGCGCTTCAGACGTTGAGACAGGGGATTGTGCGAGGGGTGAGGGGCATCTGTTCTCTGTTTGGCGAAGATGCCTGAAATGTGATGGCAGCCAGTATGTCAGTTTAGTAGTCAGTTTGCACACAGTCAGTGAGTGAGCCCCTCTGGTCCCTTCAGGTTGGGGTGGTGAAGGGGGGTTCATAGCCAGGCCTCATCAGGGGGTGTGGGACGAGAGCAGAGGGGAGGGACAGGTGCTCAGAGCTGAGAGTCAGCCCCCAGGCTGTTGAGCTCCTCCGGCGAGTGCTTCTCTCCCCCAGTGCCAGCCGACTGGCGGAACCCAGCCGAGATCTCGTCAAACGTCCGGCCCTTGGTCTCAGGCACCTTGAAGTAGGTGAAGACGAAGAAGCTGAGCAGCAGTATGGTGAAGATGACGAAGACATAAGGGCCACACAACTCCTGTAGGGTGAGACGGAGAAGAGAAGGTTAATTTAGCAGTGGGCTCCAAACAAACACGTCTTCAAACTAACAGTTCACATATATCAAGATTCTGGTTGCAAAGGGTGGGTATATTACTGGAAACGTTCTAAGTTTACCAGTAAACTACTCACATTTTGGTATCTTTCAAGGATTTTATGTAATCTATCACAAGACATCTAGCGGCCCTTTTGGGTACTTCAGATTTTTAAAAGGTGTCTGTCATTATCTCTGGCCCTTGGTGCGGCCTTATCACAGGTCAAATATATGAAATAATTAAATAAGATGATTTAAAAATAAAAAATTGAATGACAAAGCCGTAAAACATGATCCTAAATTATCTTCAACTTAGTGAATAACATTGGTGTTTAATATGAGGGTTTCAGCAAACATCCTTTATTAATGTTTAATACACTTCTATTTATTTTACTATGTCAACATCTATTTGTTGTCAGTGTTTTGGCATCTAACTGGTGGCAGTTGTGAACACTTCCAATAATTGGAAGAGTTGCAGAGTTAATGGAAAATAATGCCATTGTTGATTAGATGCTTTTTTCAGTAATTAGGCTATTTTCTCTTGAACCATAGGGTCTATGTCCTAGACACTCATGGACACAAATATGAAAAATTCATACTATATATGAATACATTTTTAAACATTTATTAAAGTATAAATTACCACATTTATAATAGATTGCCATCAATTTTCTGTTAATTACCAAAATTACTGAAGATTACGGTAACTTTCGTAAAATATGGGTAGCTTTGCAACCCTAATCAAGATGAGTATGTCTACAACATCTACCATGTTGAGCATCAGTGACTAACAAGGCTGTGCTCAGTGCTTACCTCTACATACTGGAAGGCCATGCCCACTATGAAGTTGGCGGTCCAGTTAGAAAAGCCAGCCACAGCGAAGGCCGAGGGCCGGGGTCCTTGGGAGAACAGCTCAGCCACGATGAACCAGGGGATGGGACCCGGGCCGATCTCAAAGAATGCCACGAAGGCAAAGATGGCCACGATGCTCACGTAGGACATCCACGGCAGCTGGTCCTGATGGAGGACAAACAGACAGCAGGGGGTTAAACTACTGGTATTCATTCAACATATTATATTTACAAGGACATGTATCAATAAACCAAGTGTTTTTCCTCATTCATTCCTTATGAGAGCTGCTAGCATTTTGTGAAGTGTGCTGTAGTTAGTCTACGTACCAGCAGAGCCAGAGCGACGGTCATCAGAACAGCAGCGCCTGCCATTCCCATCAGCCCCAGCAAGTGGAGAGACCTGCGTCCGGCACGCTCCACCACAAACAGCTGAGGAGAGGGGTGAGGGTTGAGTTACTGTCCAACCACTAATGTGGTGCATGATGTGCACCATAAACGACACATACACATCTGCCACAGTTACTCACCGACACCACAGTGAAGGCTGTGTTGACCACGCCGGCACCAATTGTAGCATAAACAGGCTGAGCAACTCCGGCCTTCTCAAAGATACGGGTAGAGTAGTAGAAAACCTGCAGGACACCAACAGCACAGTTTAGAGTTTCAAAATAGGTAGTATACTGTATGTCAGGGATCATCAACTAGATTCAGCCACGGGCCGTTTTTTTCTTGAGCGATGGTTGGTGGGCCGGAACATAATTACAAATAATTTGTAGACTGCAAATTGACCGCAAGAAGCCCAAACAGATATAATATTTGAATAAAACATAATCACTTCAAACCAGTTGTATCCGATCAAGTGTCTCTCTATTACAGTCGGAAGTTTACATACACCTTAGCCAAATACATTTAAACTCAGTTTTTCACAATTCCTGACATTTAATCCTAGTAAAAAATTCCCTGTCTTAGGTCAGTTAGGATCACCACTTTATTTTAAGAATGTGAAATGTCAGAATAATAGTAGAGAGAATTATTTATTTAAGCTTTAATTTATTTCATCACATTCCCAGTGGGTCAGAAGTTTACATAAACTCAATTAGTATTTGGTAGCATTTAAATTGTTTAACTTGGGTCAAACGTGTCGGGTAGCCTTCCACAAGCTTCCCACAATAAGTTGGGTGAATTTTGGCCCATTCATCCTGACAGAGCTGGTGTAACTGAGTCAGGTTTGTAGGCCTCCTTGCTCGCACACGCCTTTTCAGTTCTGCCCACACATTTTCTATAGGATTGAGGTCAGGGCTTTGTGATGGCCACTCCAATACCTTGACTTTGTTGTCCTTAAGCCATTTTGCCACAACTTTGGAAGTATGCTTGGGGTCATTGTCCATTTGGAAGACCCATTTGCGACAAAGCTTTAAATTCCTGACTGATGTCTTGAGATGTTGCTTCAATATATCCACATAATTTTCCTTCCTTATGATGCCATATATTTTGTGAAGTGCACCAGTCCCTCCTGCAGCAAAGCACCCCGACAGCATGATGCTGCCACCCCTGTGCTTCACGGTTGGGATGGTGTTCTTCGGCTTGCAAGCATCCCCCTTTTTCCTCTAAACATAACGATGGTCATTATGGCCAAACAGTTATATTTTTGTTTCATCTACCAGAGGACATTTCTCCAAAAAGTACGATCTTTGTCCCCATGTGCAGTTGCAAACCGTAGTCTGGCTTTTTTATGGCAGTTTTGGAGCAGTGGCTTCTTCCTTGCTGAGCGGCCTTTCAGGTTATGTCGATATAGGACTCGTTTTACTGTGGATATAGATACTTTTGTACCGGTTTCCTCCAGCATATTCACAAGGTCCTTTGCTGTTGTTCTGGGATTGATTTGCACTTTTCACACCAAAGTATGTTCATCTCTAGGAGACAGAATGCGTCTCCTTCCTGAGCGGTATGACGGCTGCGTGGTCCCATGGTGTTTATACTTGTGTACTATTGTTTGTACAGATGAACGTGGTACCTTCAGGCGTTTGGAAATTGCTCCCAAGGATGAACCAGACTTGTGGAGGTCTACAATTATTTTTTCTGAGGTCTTGGCTGATTCCTTTTGATTTTCCCATGATGTCAAGCAAAGAGGCACTGAGTTTGAAGGTAGGCCTTGAAATACATCCACAGGTACACCTCCAATTGACTCAAATGATGTCAATTAGCCTATCAGAAGCCATGACATCATTTTCTGGAATTTTCCAAGCTGTTTAAAGGCACAGTCAACTTAGTGTATGTAAACTTCTGACCCACTGGAATTGTGATACAGTGAATTATAAGTGAAATAATCTGTCTGTAAACAATTGTTGGAAAAATTACTTGTTGCCAAAACTATAGTCTGTTAACAATACATTTTTGGAGAGGTTGAAAAACGAGTTTTAATGACTCCAACCTAAGTGTATGTAAACATACGACTTCAACTGTATGTGTGGGAATACTTGGGAACAGACATTCCTGGTGTTTTTATAGTATTTTATGTTGAACAATAACAAATAAAAAATAAAAATACAAAACTTGGGGGGCCAAATAAAACCACCCGCAGGCCAAATTGGGGAACCCTGCTGTATGTGTTTGTGTCCAGTGCCTTGCAAAAGTATTCATCCCCCTTGGTGTTTTTCGTATTTTGTTGCATTACAACCTGTAATTTAAATGGATTTTTATTTGGATTTCAGTATATATACACCTGTTCTGAAAGGCCCCAGAGTCTGCAACAACACTAAGCAAGGGGCACCACCAAGCAAGCGGCACCATGAAGACCAAGGAGCTCTCCAAACAGGTCAGGGACAAAGTTGTGGAGAAGTACAGATCAGGGTTTGGTTATAAAAAAATATCTGAATCTTTGAACATCCCACGGAGCACCATTATATCCATTATTAAAAAATTGAAAGAATATGGCACCACAACAAACCTGCCAAGAGAGGGCCGCCCACCAAAATTCACGGACCAGGCAAAAGGGCATTAATCAGAGAGGCAACAAAGAGACCAAAGATAACCCTTAAGGAGCTGCAAAGCTCCACAGCGGATTTTGGAGTGTCTATCCATAGGACCACTTTAAGCCGTACACTCCACAGAGCTGGTCTTTATGGAAGAGTGGCCAGAAGAAAATCCATTGTTTAAAGAAAGAAATAAGCAAACACGTTTGATGTTCGCCAAAAGGCATGTGGGAGACTCCCCAAACACATGGAAGAAGGTACTCTGGTCAGATTAGACTAAAATTGAGCTTTTTGGCCATCAAGGAAAACGCTATGTCTGGTGCAAACCCAACACCTCTCATCACCCCGAGAACACCATCCCCACAGTGAAGCATGGTGGTGGCAGCATCATGCTGTGGGGATGTTTTTCATTGGCAGGGACTGGGAAACTGGTCAGAATTGAAGGAATGATGGATGGCGCTAAATACGGGGCAATTCTTGAGGGAAACCTGTTTCAGTCTTCCAGAGATTTGAGACTGGGACGGAGGTTCACCTTCCAGCAGGACAATGACCCTAAGCATACTGCTAAAGCAACACTCGAGTGGTTTAAGGGGAAACATTTAAATGTCTTGGAATGGCCTAGTCAAAGCCCAGACCTCAATCCAATTGAGAATCTGTGGTATGACTTAAAGATTGCTGTACACCTGCAGAACCCATCCAACTTGAAGGAGCTGGAGCAGTTTTGCCTTGAAGAATGGGCAAAAATCCCAGTGGCTAGATGTGCCAAGCTTATAGAGACATACCCCAAGAGACTTGCAACTGTAATTGCTGCAAAAGGTGGCTCTACAAAGTATTGACATTGGGGGGGTGAATAGTTATGCACACTCAAGTTTTCTTATTTCTCTTTTGTTTCACCCCAAAAAATATTTTGTGTCTTGAAAGTGCTAGGCATGTTGTGTAAATCAAATGATACAAACCCCCAAAAAATCAATTTTAATTCCAGGTTGTAAGGCAACAAAATAGGAAAAATGCCAAGCGGGGTGAATACTTTCGCAAGCCACTGTATATGGAGTGTGTGTTTGGGGTGGGAAGTGTGTATGAGAGGTGACTCACAGCGTTGATGCCAGACAGCTGCTGGGAGAGCTGAAGCATGATAGCGATGAAGATGGGCTGACGGTAGAGTGGCGAGCGGAACAGCTCCAGGATGGTCACCTTCTTCTCCCTCATCATCTGCCTGGCCTCCTCCTTCATCTCCTGCATGTCTGCACTCACGTCTGTGGTCCCACGCAGCTTCTTCAGGACTGACAGAGACAGAGAGAGAACAGGAGGTTACATTACAGTCTGCTAGGGTTGGGTCACTCGATACCAGGTCAATTCAGACAATTCGAGGAATGAATTGAAATTAAACTACTTTATTGAAACATGGCCCTTATTTTAGATCATTTTCAACTCATTCAAACTGACAGAACTGAAATTGGCTGAACTGATGACATTAAGTGTATGAATGTGTGTTTATGTGTAAATGTACTCTACTCACCAGTCTTGGCCTTGTTCTCCTCGTTACGGTTGATGAGGAGGAAGCGGGGGCTCTCGGGGCAGAAGGGCAGCAGTGCACACTGCACCAGGGCTGGGATGAATGTGAAGCCCAGCAGGAAGGGCCAATGAGATTCGTTCCCCATTAAGGCCTCCATGCCAAACACCTGAACCACAACACATAGTTAGACCAACATCAGATTATCATGTAGCACAGCTCTCAAAGAGATCCCTTTGGAAAAGCATACATATGATCCATTATTCTCCATATGATATCCCTGTGCCCACTGGCACTGACCTGTGCCATCAGGATGCCTATGACGATGCCCAGCTGGTGGAGGGTGCCCAGGGCTCCTCGGAGGGCGGTGGGGGCCACCTCACCCACGTACATGGGCACAAAGCCAGTGGAGAGGCCGGAGTAGAGGCCCACCACGAAGCGCCCGATGATCAGCATCTCCCACGAGTCACCCATCTTAGAGAAGCCCATGAGAGCTGCGGAGACAAACGCCAGCACGTTGGCCATGAGCATGGAGTTCCTCCTGTAGACACAGAAATAGTCATGTCAATTACAGTCCAATTATTGCACAGACATTTACATACCATACATATACAGTACATAGGCCTTTCATGTAATATTATCTCACATAACACAGTTGTAAATAAACATTGTGAAGTGTCGTATTTACCTGCCAAAGCGGTTGACAAACAGGCCCACGGAGAAGGAGCCGAAGATGCCGCCAACAGAGAAGATGGCGACGGAGATGGACCACAGGGTGGTGAGGGAGGTCTTGGTGATGGGCTCATTGTAGCGGTCGACCCATGTTTTGTTGAGGAACATCTCAATAACCTAGCAGAGCAGGAGAGAAAACAACACCAGCTCACAACACTGCCATTGACAGAAATCACAGTCAAATGTACCATAGACATACAGTAATGTATGTGAATGGTTCATTTACCTTTTTACTTGAAGAGACAGTAAAAAAAAGTGTTTCCTTGTCCTCATTGCCATTGGCCAGGTGGCTGCTGTTTTGGTGTATGGCCAGTAGATGGAGGTAGAGGATTGGATTTCAGGTTTTCCAGCAACGAGGATGTTTGTGGGAGAGCGTGGTGTCGGGTTTCAGCCCCTTCCCCCACAGTGACTCAGTGTTGACAAACATACACATGTCTGATCAGCTTGTGATGGAAGTTAAGTAGGACAGGCTGGGAGGAATGTTCCCTCCCCCATGTCTTTGCCGTGGCACTCTGACAACTGTCTTATGTCTAGGACTCCCTCTACCTCTATCTAGCACCTCTAGTACTCGGCACTGAGCCTTGCCCCCTCCCCCAAATATCAATGTTGGCTCCTGTCATGTGCTTTGCTGATAGATTATACAATATACTCTTTACCAATACTTACATAATGCTGCACGATTGATATAGAACTGTTAATGTATTTTATAGGTCAGGTTGGGTATGCTGTTCAAGATATGGCATAGGGTATAAATTATACAGACCCAGAACAGTCTCCTTATTATTCAGCAAGAAGGTTATGACAAATCTAATATAGCCCAGCCTAGCCAGCCCAACACTGTCAATATAGTTCCATAAAATAAACATTCTTACAGATAAAGAATGGCAAGGCTACCCTTTATTTCATATCCTTGATTTCTCTGAATAGGCAGGTGTCTGACTCAAGACCTAGCAAGCACCTGGCCACAATGAAAAACACTGTCAATTCATGACCGGTGGCCCTGTCCTGATTAAAGTGTTACTGTCTCTGTGGACTCCTGGCTGGGCAGTGTGGAGGCAGTCAGGTCCGTCTGTCTGTGCATCAAGGTGCCCAATTTGGAGCCGGTAGGCAGGGTGGAGGAGCAGACCAAGGCCATTGAGAGACACCTAATCTAATCAGTGCTACACTCTTTAGAGCGGAGGGCCTGCATCACACCACCAGCTTCACTCCATCCCTTATCATAGAGAAAGAGGGAGAGAGAGACGGAGATTGGGGGAATTGGGCTGGGGGTCATTTAGGGTCTCCATATACACTGAGTGTACAAAACATTAGGAACACCTACTCTTTCCACGACATAGACTGACCAGGTGAAAGCTTTGATCCCTTATTCAATCAGTGTAGATGAAGTGGAGGAGACAGGTTAAAGAAGGATTTTTAAGCCTTATGAGAATTGAGACATAGATTGTGTATGTGTGCCATTTAGAAGGTGAATGGGCAAGACAAAATATTTAAGTGCCTTTGAACGGGGTATGGTAGTAGGTGCCAGGCGCACTGGGATTTTCACACTCAACAGTTTCCCGTGTGCACCAAGAATGGTCCACCACCCAAAGGACATCCAGCCAACTTGACACAACTGTGGGAAGCAGTGGAGTCAACGCCTTCGACACCTTGTAGAGTCCATGCCCCAACAAATTGAGTCTATTCTGAGGGCAAAAGGGGGTGCAACTCAATATTAGGACGGTGTTCCTTATGTTTTATACACTCAGTAATTAGTCATGCTGTTATCACATTTACCATGGATCTCAAATCAAATCAAATGAAAGTTTATTGGTCACGTGCACAGGATACAGGTTGTAAACGGTACAGTGAAATGATCTGGATGTGTCTCTATGTTCAGCAATACTACCGTTTCTGTGAACACTTCCCTGCACTCTGTATGTTGCTTCTAAACAGCTGTGGCATTGTGTGGTATTACTGAGCATGTGTCAGTGTGCTTATGTGTGTGTATACGTAACTGGGACCTCAGCTGAGACTGGGGAGGGGAGGGCAGGTTTACACTGGCCCAGTGTCTGAATGACAGCAAACCTCTACATATCCACCTCCTTCTCACCACCGTCCCCCTTGACCACTCTTACAGGGGGGGCACCCCACCTCTACAGCTCAGCTAGGCTTATACTGAGAACTAGATCATCTGGTCCTACAATCACATTTTAATTATTCACTGTTGATGCGTTTAACCAATCAGAATGTCTACCGGTCTGTAATAAACAGGTATCAAATTATTATTTTCTATCCTATTGTGTACAGATGTAGGATCTTAATTTGATCACTCTTTTGTTGCTGAGAATTTTCCTGAACAGCAGGAAATGCAAACTTTTAGTGTATTTGAGTTTTAAAAAGGCTTCTAAAGATTGTCTTTGTCACTTTGAAATGTCAGACTTGATTTACCCTAACAAAAAATCCCACAAATACTAGTGCAACACAGGCTGCCTAAGTATGGTCCCCAATCAGAGACAACGAGCTACAGCTGCCTCTGATTGGGAACCACCCTGGCCAACATAGATCTAAACGATCTAGAACGAAAACATAGAAAAACTAAACATAGAAAAATCCACACCCTGGCTCAACCTTTAAGAGTCCCCAGAGCCAGGGCGTGACAGCAGGATTATTTTTCTGCTGTAGCAAACTGGCTCAAATTAAGATCCGACATCTGTAGCCTACTATTCTATTCACAAAACAGTGCTGGCTCCTAAACATCAATTGCAGCGCTTGATAGGTATGACATACTGACAGACAAATGAGTGTGTGTAATGGAGCAACAAGTGGCCTCCTGAGAGAGGAACATCAGGACAGGAGACAGCTGGGACTGTAGATCACACAGAGACCCTCATATATCAAAAGTAATGGAGAGGGCAGGTGTCCCATGTATTCAGGCAACAATGCACCTGGAACTATGAGCCGAGCTGCCACATGGCTTGTTCAGACAAAGAGCAATACTGTGCGGATTAGCCCTTTCACCTAAACCGAAAGATTGTTATGGACCACAAGACCTAATATCCCCAGGACATTGTGAGCTTTCAGTAAACAAAACCATTCTATAGATTTAGCACCTACAGTACAAAACTGTTCAGGGGATACACTTTCATGTGAAAAGTGAAGGAGTAGGGTCAAAGAAACACATTTTGTCTAAGTCAATGGAAAGGAGCTTCATTTAATTTGTGGAGACACGTCTCACTGAGAGCTCCTAAATGATGTTCCCTTTAGCAAAGTGAGTAGCACTCTCCTAGCTGTCTCCTCACCTACAATCTAAGCCCTTTCGGGGCATGAAAACAGTCCTTTACACATCACAGAGGCCCTTTAATGGAGAGTGCCTTGGACGAGATACTTAAGATATTATTAGCCCCCTTCTTTTCACGTGTTGCAGGGAACATCTTGACTGGCCAAGGCAGGCACAGGGACAGTCCCGTCTGGGAAAAGGTGTTGGGGAGGATGCGAACACGGGATAAATATAGACAAGACAAGACTCACCTTCTGAGGGGCGTTGATGACACCCGTGTTGTAACCGAACTGCAGCGAGCCAATCACTGCTGCTCCCACCGTCAGCATCAACTGGAAGGTCACTTGCTGCATAGAGACAGGAGAGAAAGTCCGTTAGAAATCACCACTCTCCAAATCTCTGTACTGCATCAAAGCATGAAAAGAGCAGCTTGGAGGTACTTGGAGTTGACAGACTTATTGTCTTATGATAACAAATCTGTAGGCTAAACTATCCAGTTGTTGTCATTCCATATAGCTTAGACCTAGGCTAGATAGGCCTTTAGGCATATTTTGAGTGAGAACCTCCTTGGCACAGTTAGGGTTGCAAAATTCCGGGAACTTTCAATACATTTCCTGGTTTTCTGGAAATCCTGGCTGGAGGATTACGGATTTTCTGCTTATTCCCTCCTGATTCCGCTAATCCTCCAACTGGGATTTCAGGAAACCCAGGGAATTTATTGAATGTTCCTGGAATTTTGCAACCCTAGGCACTGTACTGTAAGGGTTAATCAATTTAGTTTTACAATATCCATTGACTTTATCCTGTTGTACTAGCTTGTCAAGTAATTTCACTATCAACACCTGACGACGGCATACAAAACATCTTGATTGTCCCATCATGACTCATGTCATTTGTATGGACCTCCTGTGTTGTTGATTGACTGCACACAAATCTAAGGAATTTGGGCCTGGTAATGATTAGTTCCTAAATACTTTTCTTCCTCCTCCAAAATGTCAAAAAACTTGCAGAACTTGAGCTGCAGTTTCTGTAGAATGGGGTAGTATCCTTATTTGCACAATAGGTGGTTGTACTGCCCCAAATGTGTGTGATAGTGACACAACTTGCAAGAAGGCAACCTAGCCTCAGGCCAAGCACAGAGGAGGGGGAGTTCATCCTAAAACTGTCCACTTCAGGTGGTTGATTGTAGGCCTAAATATTGTGCATTAGGACCATGTGTCCACACCCAACCCTCTCAGGGGAGGGGAGATCTAGCCTCAGTCAATGTCTGTGTTCCTGTTATTTCTAAAATCATTTGATTGGCTTAATCCCAGTGGAGCCCCAAGGAAGGCAGATATTTTCCTCATGCCATCAAGTTAACACACAATCCTTTTTAGGCGAGCCATTATGCAACTTTCACATTTCATCGCAACGGCAGTGTGTCTGTGCCATATTGTCAGTATTATAGGCATATTGGGATTTCGTTATTTTGTTGGTTACAATCGTGTGGAGAAGAGGTATGTGGGCCACTGGTATTGGAAGTTTTCCACTGTTTAGGAGTTGTCTGTATCTGTGGTGATGTTTTGATAGTGACATGGCTTTTCTGACATGAGAATTAGCCTTAATGCTTTACACCAGTTGCTATGCTATGAGATCCTCTTTATTACTCATGTTGTGACTACATTGGGATTCTAAACTAAAAGCCAGTGTAGTTATGACAAGGTCCTAAATGTCTGTAAAATGTGTGAGAAAGTGAACCATCCCTAAATTGATTTCTGCAAGGGAAAATATACAGTAGGCTATGACACATTGCCACAAAAAGCCCTCAACTACATGAATGATAGCCTATATGTGCTTCCTATTCATGGGTTAAACTAGGCCCCCCAAGAGGACTATCTACATGTTAATCCTTTAGCAGACACTCTTATGCAGAGCAACTTACAGTGAGTGAATACATTTTCATACATTTTTTCATACTGGTCCCTCGTGGGAATCAAACCCACAACACTGGCGTTGCAAGCGCCATGCTCTACCAACTGAGCTACACAGGACTATCTGACATGGGACTATCTGACAGGGGGAAATAGTTTATTTAAGGATCCTCTTTTTTTTAAAGGCTGCTTTAAAGGGCACTAATGAACTAGGCCTACCTCCCCTAAAATATATGTTGAGAACAAGTGCTCAAGGCTATTCTAAACAACAGGGTAGGCATTCCATTTTTGTGAATTATGAGATTCTTGAAGAGGGTGGGAGCTACAAAGTGGGCTGAGTGTTTGGAAACACTCACTACAGCATGCTCAGTATAGCTCAGTAATAGAGACCAAAAAAGGGCAGGTCTGAAAGTGAGGTGGGGTAAGCGCAGATCTGAAACAGTAGCAGCTTAACCAATAAAGTTTCACACAAGCGACGAGTCGCTGGGGTTCAACGAGTCCATGGCTGGGTTGTTATAAGCAGCCCTAGCACAGGATGTAAACACACACCATCAGGGTAGATCTTGTGTTCTATGATATGCTATCAGAAAACATTCCAGTGTATTCTTTCTGAAAGGGGATGGTCACGTATCATTCACCTTGGAAACGATGAAGTCACGCCCTCCAGCTCTGAGATGGTTATCACAGCCTTAAAGACACTGGCCCTTTAAACAAACACCATTGTTATTAAACAGTTGGTGCCACCAGCCATGTTTACATTCCCCCCAAAGATAAACTTCCATGCAAATCAATCTCCTCCTTCTCAGGAGTGAGTCTGTGAATTTTAGCCCAGTCACAGTGAGTGGGCTGTAGTACTGGTGATGGTTGCTTTAGGCCTAGTTAGCGGAAAAGGGATTATTTCTCACTTTTTAAGTTAGTACTAACACAAAAGATAAATGTCTCAAATGTAGCCTACAATTTGATTCACATCTACCTCGGATCAATAGAAATGTAATATTCTGATGTAAAATGGAACAAAAAAACAACAATAATCTTTCTCCAAATAAGGCTTTTGCATGATTATAGTGGATTTTTACATTTCAGACCTGCCTCATCTAGCCTAATGCATCAACAGTAAAATCTCTTCACATTGATGTATGAGAGAGTCTGGGCTTGAGCAAACATCTAAAGTGATCATAAGGCCTGTCCCTTGAGCAACAGTTTACTCAACACAGTCCATGGGTTATATTGGAGGTAGTTAGGTCAATTAAAATCGACTTTATGTGATCAACAAGCAGTCCAACAAGGAAACACTGTATACTGTGCTGACGAATGACAATGGTGAATGGGGTTGGGCCAGAGTTGTATAACAGAGGTATGTGGAATTGTGAGAGTCAATTCCAATTAGGCACAATGTAAGACAGAACCTTTGTTCACATCATATCAGCACTTTGTCTGGTGACCAAAGCCTTAAAACTGACCTCACAGGTTTTGGGAGGATGTCTAGTGAAACAGAATTACTTCCTGCTGTGAAATGTTTACAGCCACATCTTCCCTATAAGTGACACCGACAGTATAATGCATTAGTCATCCAGTTCCAGTGAATTGTATAACCTTTCTCCGTAATCTAGAAGTGTCAGTGGTCCCTCTCTTCAAACACCTCAGCCTCTGCTAAAACTACTGCTGGGACACACTGTATCATATTGATAAGCAAAGCCATACTACAGTGACAGTCTGTGAGTGACTACAGTACATACAGATATAATGTGAATCACCCTCAGGTACTGTAAGGTTAGGGGCCTTCTCTAAACCAAACCTCTGAGGTTTACAGTAGGCCTAGTTCTGTTCAGAAAGCAGAAGCCATGGCTGGCTGTGCCACAGCTCCCAGTTCCCCACACCCTCAACTCGTCTCTGGCTCTCAGTGATGGCTACGCCGCCAGCCTCACGTCCCTGCAAACGTCACCTCCTCGACAGCCTCGGGTTTCACAGGGGAACCTAATATCACTCCCTCATCCTCCTCCCTAACCTGCCTCACAGCACAGGGCCCCTCCTGTGTATCCTGACTGCCTCCTTTAGTCATTCATTGAGTGAACAGGAACAAGTCTGTGGTCCATAACATGGTCTAAAACATAGAGGTCAATGGATCGATTAGGTGGTAGGCATGCAGTTGAAAATTAGACGGCTGGCAAAAACTGGCACATTTACAGTAATGTGGATTAATTGCACTGTCCCTGTAAAACTAAATGTAATAAAATAAAGACTGTCTGATACAAACAAAATGTTTCCATACGTGTGTATTTCTGATCCATCTAATTTCCCACTGATATCTGGTGCAAGTGTTTGTTCAAACCTGACACAATCTCAGATACAGTACAGCTCTAAGGAGAACAAGCAAATGTGCCTGTACAGTACACTACAGCTTTACAGATTTAACCAAACTCTCCTTCACATGAATAGCGATTAACAGAGGTCAGTACAGTGTGTACAATGCCTTCCACTTTTTTGAGGAAATGAATTAGGCCCTGTTTGTGCCTGTTTCAATTACAGCATTCCCAGATCTCTTAATCCCATCTTTTATAGAAAAAGTCATTAGGCCTCATTAGAACACACTGACACTTATAATGAAAGGGCATACTGACGGGGCAGTCATGCAGAGGGAAATAAAGTGAGTGGAGGAAGCCAGTAGATTGAGCGGAATTAAGTCTTTAGAAGGAAGGAACTGAATGCCGACTTTGGGTTTAATCAAAAACCCCAACTGTCCGCTCAGTCAAAAATCTAATTGCTTCTTAGAGTTATTCCACTCACCACAGACCGGGTCAACTGTATGCTTGCCACAATTACCTGGTATCTTACCCAAGAAAAAAATAGGCTTCCGCTGAACTAAAACAAAGCATAACTTGTGCCCAAACTGCCTATGAATTCAGTCATGTTTTGATCGGAAGGCTTTGTGTCGGAGGGAAAAAGCCGTATTAGATTAATGCTTGTTATCCAGTCTATAAATGGAACAAAGAGGCTAGACAGTATTTTGTTTTGGAGAGGTTGGGAGAAGTTAAAAACCCACTGGGTGAGCAGTCAAGCAGGGGAGGTGTCTATCTGAACAGGTGTATCAAAGTGAGGCTTAGAGGGCAATGTCTCAGCAATGGTCCCGTGTGGTTCAGTTGGTAGAGTATGGCGCTTGCAATGCCAGGGTTGTGGGTTCAATTCCCACGGGGGACCAGTATGAAAATGTACACACTCACTACTGTAAGTCACTCTGGATGAGAATAAAAAGTCAAATTAGGGCTGGCACAATTACTGTGTAGCCGACGTTTATGGATGAAGACTGTCATGAAAATAAAATAACTGTTTAAAGAAAACTGACAGGACGGCCGGGCATTTGTACGGTTGAGTCCGTTTCTGCGATACCATGGACTCTTAACGATGTAATGAAACTTTGTTGCCCCTTGCTAAAACAAGCAAGGTGTTGTAGCAAACGATGAATAGAATGGGCTTGGAACCTCTAACCCTGGCAATTTGACTGGTAAACTCCTGGTTACACTCGCAATGGCCACCAGTCCACTCATTATGCCATCATTGATTTGAATGAGGATGCCTGCTCTTCTATTCAAATAATTTTCTATGGCAGCGCATGCAGTCAGGAGCGGAGGAAATTTGAAAATGTGCTATTCAAATGGTTATTACGAAGACCGCGGTCATTTGGCTGGCCAAACACAGTCATCCAAAATTCATTGAACTTCACAGCCCTATGTACAATGCAATACAATGATTTCCCTGGAAAGCTCTAGACTGGCAATGAGGGCATTTATCCTCGTGCCAAAAAGTCGCCTGCTTTACCTTGCAGACATATGAACCAGAATATCATTGATGTGAGCTCAGAGGTGAGTATGGACAAATGCTTATTACAATGTTATGCACACATGATTGAACCATGGCTGGGGACAGCTCATTGGCATTTTGGCTGTTGATTTTTAGCCACACCTTGTGTCACCAACCCCTGGTTCTACCCACACGCTGACTGCCCCCTCCCTGCCCAGCTGTGCTGCACACACCCAGGGATCATAAACACAAGCAAGTATGCAATGCCCAACCACGAGATGCTGATTATAAACAAGTAGACATGCTCAGTGCGGTATTATCCTGGCCGCAAGCTCAAAGCTCAAGCTGCCTGACTAAAGCAAAACACTAGCTAATGGGAATGGCTGGGAAGGGGTCGCTTTAATTGTGTTCCAGTTGAGCGCCAGGAAATCACAAGGCTCTGCCTAACCAAAAAAGGGGTTACAGACAAATAACAATAAACATGTTTACCATGTCAACCACAAGTAAACTCTAAGCAAGGGCTGGGAGAAGTGACTTTAAAGTTGTCAGGGGGTAGCTAACCACACTGCATCAGCAGTCAGTGGTAAGTCAGCCATATCAGAGACCAGATGAGTCATGTCTCACTCTCTTCCTTTTACTACTGTTAAACAACAATAAGCAGATGTTACATCAAATGCAAAGTGCAAAGAACAAAAATGAAGTGAAGACCTCATATGCTGTGATAAAACAGATAATCTCAATCTATACATTAATGTGCTGCCTTCCTGTGAGTAATGACATCATGCTCTTCATTTAGTTTAGTTTAATTCACTACTTTATAAATTGATTAGTACACCAGATACAGTCATTATGCCAATCAGTGCCCATGAACGTAGTAGGCCTACCCCACGATCTGACATAATGCTCGCGCTCCTTCTGCATTTCCCCAGCAGCCGCATATCCGACTGCGTCCAAAGATGATGGTGAGCAGCACAGCAAACACGTTTTAAGTTTCAATTGAATTAAACAATTAAATGGTGGGCTAGCCAGTGTAACTTCTTGAGAGAAAAAAACTTACTATTCTGAACCCATTGACATTAACACAGCTAGGCAGCTTGAGAGTCTCAAGCTAACCTAACCAGTTTTCCATTTAACTGGGAAGCTAGCTAGCTACCATTTCTCTCTTTCTCTCAGAGAGACACAGACACACATACACACACACAAACACACAGTTTTGTAAATTGTTTTCTAAGAACACTGCTAACTAGTCGTTAGCCTCACTCATACAAGTAGCCTACCTTGCCGCCTGAATCCATTGCCGCAGTGTGGCTTGTCGATATTATTGCTGGCAATCTTGAAATGTCAAGTTTGGGTAACTTCCGCGGGTATTTTTTTTGTCTCAGACGACGTGTCTCATTTTTAAGATGACAATGATACAAAATGTCATAATCTATATTATCTTCTTATTTGTTCTTCTTCTTTATTTTCAGCGTAATTCTTTGTTTCCAAATTGTCCTCAGTTCATCGTGTTTATTCCCCCAGTGTAATTTCTGTAATGAGCTCAAAACTTCAGATTCATAATGCCTCAAAGTTTTCTTGGATTGTTGAAGTATTTCGTTCTTCGAGTACAGACTGTCTGCACTTTGGGGAAATAAACCGGTGAATATATTTCCTCCAGCCCGACTAGAGTGATTGGCTGACGCAAGAGTTTAGTTCGGCCCATGGAGGTGTGTGAGCCTCAATGTGTGTGAGGAGGAGGCCAGTTTCTATCCCTGAGCTTCTATTGGTTTAAACTTGCACCCCTATGACGACGTTCCGACATATATCTCCGAAAAGTGTTACTTCGTTTTGTTGAATAACTAGATAGGGTAGTTCTGTGTTAAGGCCATCGTCCTTAATGTATTTAATTGAAATTATACATTTTATGGGGTTATTACAATTTGGTGGAGGCATGAGCCAAGTATTATATTGTAATAACATGGTTATATATATATATTTAGCCTACTGGTCAGACGCTTGCAGCAAGGGGGCGCAAATTTACCGACCATTGCTGATAGTTTGAGGTCATGGCAGGAAATGACACTGACAGTACTGACACGCACCACCTTTTCATCTCACTTGCAACCCCCAAGTAGGCTATAAGTAGGCTATAACGTGACCTTGCCTACTAAGGGTAGCATTTCTATACTTCATAGGTCTACTTGCTCGCAGTACTTTATCCCAACAATACTAAAAGAGAACATGTAGTAGCCCAGGCCTACTAGTAATACATTTGAATGATCCATGACAACACTAATTTTTAGGCACACACAAAAAAACATCCAGTTAGTTGTCCTTTGTTTCTCAGCATCCCACTGTATCCATGCGTGTTCAGTCCTTCATAAACAATGTTTTAAACATCCCATATCTGTTATCTTTGACCAAAGCTGGTGATGTGACATGGGTGCCCTCCATTCAAAACCATAAATTGTGATGGAGATGTTTGTTATTAAAGGCGTGTAAAAACAAATATTTTCATGTGAATAAATGAAACTGCGTAATACCTTTTGTTTGAGATGGCGGGGAAGTGTCCGGTCCGAGTGCATGCAAAAAATTAGGAAAATAATCATTAGTACAGAAAGGAAAATGCGTGTGTTTATACAGTGTAAATGAAAGAGGTAGACCGACCTGGCCTAAAGCAACAGGCTGAGGAAAAGAGGTAGAGGAAGACCAACATGGTATTTCAGATTGTCTGGCGGTTTGTCATGTCTGAATAATCATGAGGCAATGTAAGGTTTATTTGTGAGATTGAAAATTGTCACTCAAAACTAGTTCCACTGGTTACACAAAACATTGCCTAGTTCTTTGCTGACGAAAACTTTGTGATGTAAACATCAGTAGTTACCAAGGAATTTTGTAGGAATGACTGATGAATGAACAAATAATCAAAGCCTGTCAAAAGGTGTGATACACTTTCAGGAGTTATAATGCAGTTCTAGAACACCTGACTGTTGCTTGTTGCTGTTGAATGTCTTTTTATAGTCTGACCTATGATTGATTGACCTGGCAGACAATGTGTTCTCAGTCAACTTACTATGTAAAATAAATACATTTAAAAAATGTATAGTCGTGAATCCAACAGACAATGTAATGTCTAGTCACACTTGCCAGATTCTTGGCTCTCCACAGCGGTTGTGGGAGGAGACTATGTCATGTCTAATTTATATGAGGCTTGCAACAATTTCTGACCTGAAAAGTTCCTTGAGTATGCTAGTGTTCAGGTCATGTTAGACTATAGTTGACCAT